CCATTTTACACTCTCAATTATACCTACATCTGGTTATTTAACCAAGAGTTATGAAAACATATGTCCACAAAAAAATTAATACAAGAATGTTCATTGTGACCTTATTCTTTTTCTAATTTTATTTTATCTGAATTCAATAAATTAACATCTAGTGTATTTTAGTTTCAGAGGTAGAGTTCAGTGACTCATCAGTTACATATAACACCCAGTGCTCACTACATCACGTGCCCACTTTAATGCCCATCACCCAGTTACCCTGTCTCCCATCCACCTCCCCTCCATCAACCCTCGGTTTGTTTCCCATAGGGTCTCTTATGGTTTGTCTCCCTCTCTGATTTTGTCTTACATAGCAACCTTATTCTTAACAGTAAAAAATCAGAAACTGTCCAAATATCCATTTAACAAGGGAATGGGTAATCAAGCTGTAGTATATTCATATAATGGAATATCACTTGATTTCAGCAAGAAGGAACTTAGGCACAATATGAATGAGTCTCAAAAACCTTATGCTGAGTCAGCTGAGTCAAAGAAGTCAGACACAGAAGGGCATGTACTGTATGATTCCATGTATACGAAGTTCAAGAACGGACAAAACAAATCCATGCAGATAAAAGTTGGGATAGCAATTACTTCCTGTCAGGGGGCAGGGACATGTGGCTGGGTGATGGCAATGCTCTATATTTTGATTGGTTAAAAATCATTGATTTTTACACTTAATATCTATGCATTTTCTTGTATGTATTTATACCTCACTTATGCACACACACACACACACACACACAAATGCATACAGTAACACATGAAAACTCACCCTACTTCCCTGATCCATTCCCTTCCTCAGTGGTAACCACTGTTTACAGACTGGTGTGGGGTTTCCATCAGTTTCCATTTCAATGGATGTGTGTTTATATACATCCAAATAGGCTTTTATATTTTAACATAAATAAGATCAGACTATATGTATTATTCTGCTACCTGCTTTCATTTTTGATTAACGATATGTCTTGAAGGGTTTTCCATGTCTGTAGTTTAGTTTTGCCTTAATCTTCTTAGTTAGCTTGGAGTTTCAGAGTATGAAAGCACTTGATTTCTTCAGCGAGTCTCCTGCTGGACAATTTGGCAGTTTTCAAATTTTCACTTTGACAGTGCTATGATGAAAATTTTATACATAAATATTCGTGCATATATGCAAGCATTTTTGTAGGCTACTTTCTGAGAAGTGGGTTTGCTTGGGCAAAAGGTGTGGATGCTTTGGTGGATACTACCAAATTGGTTTATAATTTTGCAACCAATTTTTGTCAGTTATACTCTTTCTGACCACATATGAAAGAGTTAGATTCTGGCCTTCTCTCCAACATGGACATTATGAATCTTTTAATGTCTTTGAGAGCAGATAGGTAAAAAAATGGCATCTCTTTCTGCTGAGATTTAAAAAAAGGAAGTTTTGATTTTCTCCTTTATATACAATATACACATGCACATACGTACTTCCTGCTCCACATTCCCTCCCAGCTATGTAATTCTAGAGGCCTCAAAGCCTGATACTTTCTCACCAGCAAGTTAGGGAACACTTTCTAATTTTAATTTTAATTTGATGGACTGTTCTAGTGAATAGCAGGATTCTCTCCTCTCTAACATTCATTCTTAATATAGTAGCCGTCATTGTTAATCTTGATACCTATTGGAATTTTTAAATTTAATCCAAATTCCTTAATGATAGTTGAATTTTGAAAAGTGACATGAAAAGTTAGTTCATTGCTTTATGGACTGGTCAATTTAAATTGAATGATGAAAACTGACCCTACCACTGTACTCTCCAACTAACCTCCATTGGCCCCTCCTCCATAATGGCTTTCTTAAAAATTTGCATCTTGAATATATTTTTAATGGTGTTTCCCTAGAGAAGAAATTTCACCCCAAGGAAACTTTATTTCTGAACATGAAGCAGGTCAGTTTCTGGCAGAGCTTTGGAATCTGAGTTGCCTAGTGGGTGGGAATTTGGGAAGCGAGTATCAATGATAATTGTCTTCTGAGGCAGTATTGCCAGAGGGCTTTGCATTCTGCACCCCCAGAGGTTCTACCTCGCTGAGTTTAGTACAATTGAAAGCTTTACTGAGTTTAGCCCAGTTTATTTATGCATGTGGGTTTACTTCTGCAGGTGGGGGAGATGCAGGTAGTGATAGGTCACCTACAAATTTTATTCTTGGAAATACTGAAGTTATTACTAGCAAAAATCACAATGGTCATTCCTTCAAGAAGTGTCTAGTGAGCTTCTGGGGGAGAGATCTTTCTTTTCATCAGGGAATCTCATATTTTTAAATTTCATGCCTCTCTCTCTCTCTCTCTCTCTCTTCCTACCTCATAAATTGCTATTATAGCCCATGCTTCAGGTAGCCCTAGGGCTTCTCTGAGGGGTACCTGAGAGAGTGACTGTCTAGAGGTGAGGCTCTGCTCCCCTGTCTCATCTACCCCTTACCTTTTTCCTCCCTCTGCCAGTGCAATCCTTCTCCTTTTTTGGTTTTCAAGTAAGCTTTTACTAGAAGAAAGAGTTCTTCGGCTAGAAATGTATTTGAAAATCAAAGCGCTCGTGCAAGGGAGTGTGTATGCTTAATGGGAATCTATTGACATTCATGTGTACAAAGACAAGGTGATCGTTTTCATCACTTTGCTCTGGATCCACCTAATTGCCCAAATCCTGAGCAGTGCCATTCAAAACTCAGCTTTTCTTTTCCAATCACTAGTGTCCTACATCAGGCAGCATTTGAAGGAAAGATTGTAGAATATGGAGATAGGCTTATATCACAATGTCCGAACTTCAGTTTTCCGTTATACTTAGCCACTCATTCATAATTCAGAGAAGCTTTAGGGATGCATGGATTTGAAGGTTTATTTTTTAATTTTTGGATTGAAAAAAACACTGCAGTGTTCTTGAAAGTAAGATCTATGTATGTTCAGACTGCCCTGAGAACTTTGTGGGAGTTCTTTATGCAAATGATATTGGCAATAATAATCTATTTTCTTTTTCAGTGGTACTTGGGGAGAAAACGTTTTAGTAGTTGGTTCTATTTAAGCATGTTCTTCAAAATTATAAAAAGTATTTCTTTATAGAAATATCCTCTACTTAAACAATCTCACTAATAACACTGATCTCTCCATCATATCCTATTACTGGGCATAGACTTTATTTCCTGATCTGGGAAGTGTACTTGCCCCAGGTTAGTATGAGTTTTGGAAATACTATATGCTTGTTCAATTAGGAAGCAAGAGGTTGTTCTCAGCATCTTTTTAGTAACCAAAAGATAATTTTCTTAAAAGATTAGCATGTAGACTTGAGTTGGTAGTTTCAGATGTGTATGTACCATTACTGTATTGGATAAAAACAAGGAAATGTCAGATAAAAATTATCCAATCCAAATGTTGACCAAGTAGATGGCTGTTCTCTCTCACCACAATCCTCTTAATAAGTGTCACCAGGAAGAGTTAAATCACTGCTTCAGCCGGTACTGTAAGTTTTCATAAGGACCAAAGTGTTCAGAATATTTTCATCAGCAGGATTTCTGATAGATCATTCAACTTAATAAGTTCTCTTGAAGTTCATTTTCTTGGAGTGAGAGGGAGTAGGGAAGTATATAATTTTATGAGGACTAGAAATAAAAATTTCTTCTTGAGCGTGGCTTCCATTTGATTAGTAATTGTTTTAATTCGACATGTTTGCTGTGTATCATCTAGTTCTCATCTCATGCGCATTTCCACGAGAGCAGTGATTCTTTCTTGCTTGCTTTGGGAGTGAGGGCTCAGTGACAGAGGCTGACTTAGCAATGCCTGAGGGTGGAGGGGGGCGGGGAAGAGTCCGGAAGGATCCCAAAAGATTCTGCTCTGTGGCCCTCCTCTTTTGGAATCAGTGCTCCCAGGCCCTCTGTACTGCCCTCCTGCCTCCTCACGTGTGAGATTAGATTTATACCAGCTGCCATGGACATGGTTGCCTAAATCTGTGGAATGTTTTGCTAAACGCTGCTGGTGAAATAGTCCACATTAAGCCTAGAACTCCTCCCCCCGCTCTTTTAACCCATCCTTTGTCAGTCTTTTACTCACTTGATCATTTTATGATTTTGCACTTTGACATCCTGTAGATTCATTAAGAACTTTTATTCCAAGCACCAGTCTTTACTTAATATGATGATTAGCCAAAGTGTTATTCTGTTTGAGCTAAGTTATGACAGTGTATTTGATTGGCGCCTTGTAATTGTTATTTTAAAATCAAAGTAATGGATTATGATCTCAGAATAGGAACATGATCCAAAAGAATAATAATAATTAGAAGAGCAACCACTTAGAAGAAAATGAATGCCCCGTCACAGACCAGGGGCCCTGTGTTCCCTGACTACTGCCTACCTTTGCAGTCCCAGGTTCCCAGGAGAGTGGGTTCTCTTCCCCCTCGCCCTGGGCTAGCCTCATTGCAGCTTTCCAGTTCCTAGAAGTAGTTGGTTCTTTCTTGCCTTGGGAATTGCACTTGCTGTTCCCTCCACTTGGGGAGCACCTCCACTGGTGATTTCTTGGCTGGCTCCTTGGAATCTTATCCACTGTCTCACCTCCTTGGGGAGGTTTCCTGGCTACAGTGCCTAAAGTCATCTTCCTACCCCATGCCTGTCCACACGTGCAATGCACATCGTCATTTGTCACAGCATGCAATTTATTTCCTCTCCATTAGGAAACCTAAGTTGTGTCTCCTTGGTACTGGTCTGTCTCTCCCACTGGACTTCAAGCTCCATGAGTTGGGTGGAGACTATACATGTCTCATTCACCATGGCAGCCCCAGTGCCATCCTGGCACTTGGCATTAAGTGGTGCTTAATACATACTTGTGGTTGAATGAATGGAATATTCTGAAGTTTCAAGTTTTCCTGAATCCATATCAATATATTCTATCCTTAGTACTTTTGTTGTTATAACATATTATCTTCCAGTGGTTGAATTTAACCACACTCTGCTGACTTTTCTCAGGCATATGAAGGATCAGAATAAGAAGGTGGCCAACCTCAAGCACAACCAACAGTTGGAAAAGAAGAAAAATGCCCAATTACTGGAAGAAGTCCGCAGGCGAGAAGATAGCATGGCTGACAACTCACAGCACTTGCAGGTGAGCTCAGGCTTCTCCTCTTAAAACCTAAATAATTGGAGATTAACTGTCTCTGACATATACCCATTGCTGTGGAGAAATATGAGCAGAAATGGGGGACTTGCCGTAGCTCTTAGTCCAGCACTAACAGTGTACTCCCAGAGAACCCAATAGGTCTTTACAACTGTGGAGCATCATTTTCAGAATTGCGCCCAAGAAGAGCTGATTATGGTGGAAACTAATACTGCACAATATCTTGGTTTCTGTACCTCACCTTAAAAGGTAAGGGTTGTGTTTACATAGTTGGCAAGAAGCTTAAAACATAGAAATGTCCTCCTTTTACAATTATATTTCAGTGGTTTTGGCGTTAGTAGAAGGGAAATGTATGCGTATTATCACAGAAGGTATTTGAAAAAGGATGCATTAGGTTGATCTCCGTTTACAAAACTGGTTTTGTTTTGTTCAAAACTCTGAGGCTCTGAGACACATCATTATTCTGTCTTCTCTATGAAATATAGTTATCTCTGAATGGACAGCCCTATCTCAGAAACCAACTGGCTGACTGAAAACATCAATTTTTCCTCATTAACCATCCTTATTTTTGGCAAAGGAGCTGTCCCCATGTGCTCAATAAAACGTTCAAGCTAAAACAGGGCATTTGCTTTGAAGTTCCTTTATTTATTCGAGTGTGCCTTTAAACAGAACAGTTCAAGTTCAACTTGGCCAGAGTTCATGTTAAATTTTGCTTATTAATTAGTGTCTTTCTCCAGTTATATATTGGGTTTCCTCCTTGGAGATAGAAGGAGTTAGATAGTTTCAATATGTACTCACAGTTCATCTTTTTAATTGACCAAAAGGGAAATAAATAATTATTCTAGAGTAGGAAAAACAAGGAAATATCTTGCACAGAGCATGGCACATGGACGTTACTTAGTCAATATTGGTTTCTTTTTTCTCTGTGTCCTAGAGGTGCCTTAATGGTTTCAATCAAGGCCCTTTGCATGGATGGCTGATTTGGTTAGCATAAGAATAGCATTAAGTCCTTTGTTCAGGCTTGGGACCACTTGAGCATGGACTGGTAGCTTATTTGAATCCACAGCTTTCTTAGTGTTCATGTCCCAGGATTTGGGTCTTAGTTTTCCCACCAATCATATGAGGTATTAGATTGGAGCCTACTGACTGAGATCATGAGAACTAAAACTTGTAGAACATTTTATTGCCTTGCCGGGCATATATTCTCATTTGTTCCTCACCTCAAGGTTGGTGATTTTACATTTGGTAAAACTGGAGTCAGCCTTCAAGAAACTAATGTAGAGGACTAATCAGAGTAGTAGTTATCATGTATTGAGTTTTTCAGTATACTGGGTGCTGTGCTATATACTTTACAGCACCTTTTTTTTTTTTAAAGATTTCATTTATTTATTTGAGAGACAGAGCAGAGTGAGTGAGTGAGAGAGAGGATGTGCGGGGGGCGGGGATGGAGAGAGAGAGAGAGAAGCAGACTCCCTGCTCAGCAGGGAGCCTGAGGTGGGGCTTGATCCCAGGACCCTGGGATCATGACCTGAGCAGAAAGGCAGACACTTAACCAACTGAGCCACCCAGGTGCCCCAGCGCTATTTAAATCTTACATGAGCTGGGTTAGTTGGAATTCTTAGTTGCAACTGATAGGAACACAACTCAGTCTGAAGTAAGCAAAAAAGGGAATCAATTAACTGAAAGGCCAGGGTGGACTTCAGGCCTGACTACACTCAGATATTCCAACACTGGCATCAGGAATCTGTCTCCATCCTACTTATAGGTGCGCTTTGCTCTTTGTTGCTTTGATTCTTAGGAGAGCTGTCCACAGTGATGCTAGCCATGGCCATCAGCAGCCAGCCTCCATTATGGGTGCAGTCATGCTCGGAGAGCAGAAAGGTTCTTTCTTAGTGGTTCTAGCAAAAATTCAAACCTGAAAGAATGCATATATTGGCCAGGCCAGGATGTGATCACCTGGAGCCTAGGGGATAGAGGTTAGCTACACCCAAATCCTATGGGCTGAGAGTGGGAACAGGTGACCTTACACAAGAAAGAAAGGTGTGTGTTACTAGAAGGGATGCTGGACAGTGAAACCATAGAGATCCACTACAGTCATCAGATGGGGTAGATAAGCTGTTATCCCATTTGATATACGAGAAGAAGGAGGCTCTGAGAGGTGACATAATTACTTAGCTAGTAAGTGGCAGAGCCAGGACTCAAACTTAGATCTGACCATCTTTAGATGGTGAGAGTTCAGGAAAAGAGTTCTAAAAGAGGATGACAAGAAAACTGTGGAGTGGCAGAGAGTCTTCATGGAGTGAACAGGATTAGAGCTGATGTGGGAGGGACACAGCTAGTAGGGAAGGCACTCCAGGCAAGAGAACTGTCAGCAAATGTATATAGAGTCTGCACAGAGCAAGGTATGGTAGGGCACAAAACGTAACAGACTGATTGATTGTGGTGTCAGTTTTCAGTGAGGTAAGTGTTAACCATCTTTCTTTAACTGACTCTGGAGCTAGAATGCCCACGATTCATTCCAAGCTCCAGAATTTACTCACTGAATGTCCTTGGGCAGGTGACTTTCTCTTCCTCATGTCTGTTTCCTGTCTGTAAAATGGGAATAATAATAATTGCATCTACTCCAGAGTTGCTCTGAGGATTAAAGAGTCAATGCATATAAAGAATTTAGAATTATACTTGGCATAAGCTATGCTCACAATAAGTATTAATGATTAATTGTTATTATGATAACAAGGAAAATGTAAAAGGAACATTTTGTGAAATTGTTGTCTATGATATGCATGGGCATTTATACAGTTCTACTCTGATATGCGTTGAGCATCAGACTTGCTGTCTTTTCTATATATAGTCATTTCTTTCCTAAGGACACATCTAGTTATGGAAATTAATGTCTTGTTTTGACTCATGAACTTTTGCATAGCAATATTTTTATAAGGGGCTTCTTGATAACTACCTCATAGACCTATTCATAAAAGATAGCATGGTCTGGAATTGCTTAGTTGCATTCCTGACCACCCCAAATAAAGGATAGCATTTGAAATGCAATAAAAAGTAATCACGATTAATTTTGATGAAAATGTCTCTGGTTAAGGTTAATAGAGAATGAAACTCCCACTTTCTTGGATTGTTAAGCAGATGTACTCAGATGCCGTAATTATTGCCTTCTGAAGACAGAACTTTCCTTTCTTGGGGCATTTGATTTTTTAATATCACTGTTGTTTTAAGTATTTCCTGTTTATGAGTTAGCTTCTTCAGCCTTTTAATAAGTGTCTGTCAACTGGGATCTAGTTTGGTTGGTTGGACAGTTGGTTGACTGGTTAGTAGTTGTGGGATTGGCACCGACTAAATTTGGTTTATTCTATACTAGTTTTTTGTAAGGGTTAGACATGCTGACTTAATGATTTTGATCAACGAAATAGGTATCATATCCAGAAAAATCTCAGGTAGAGTATTAGATGAGGTTCCAAAGGAGAGATTGAAGAGATTCAATGAGTTATGAAAATTGGAGACAAAGTTGAATGTATTCAAACCAGGACATAATCGCAACAGGCAAAAATTGGGCTATTTCAGTCCAATCTGGATATATAGTCATGCTAAGAAACATTTCACAAGCCCAACCCTCTTTAGTTCTTAGGTTTATAGTTTTATGGCAGGAATTGCAAACTCAGATGCCTCCAGGGTCTAGGCTATTAGCATAAATAAGAAACAGGTTTGCATGTAAGAAAAAATTATGATGTCTCATTCTGTCAGCCTGTCTTAATTTAAATTTTTGGTAGAGATGTATCAGTTAGCAGTTGCCATAATAATGCTGTGTAGCAAATCATCCCAAAACTCAGTGACTTTGAAGTATCAATAGTTACTGTCACAGATTTTTCAGATTGACTAAGTGGCTCAGCTTCTCCAGGGTGGGCTTGAATGGGCGTGCCTGTTTCTCACTGCAGGTCTGTGGGTGGCTGGAGTAGCTCCATTCCACATATGTTTATTCTGGGAGACTGAGGCTGAAGGGGGTCAGTGCCACAGGGTTAACTCTTCTGATGACAGTAGCAGAGGCACAAGAGAGTAAGCAAAAACTCACAAGGTCTCATAAGGCCTAGACGTAAACTGACACTGATTTTCACCTCACTGCACTGGCCAAAGCAAGGCACATGGCTGAGCAAATAAGCAGAGATTAGGGAAGTACACTCTACCCATGAAGAGACCATTTTAAAGGGGCAGATACAAGGAAGGGTGAGGACTTGAGACCAGTCATTCAAACTGTCAAAAGAGACAAGATTTGTGGAAATATTTCTTCATAAGAAAAAACAATAACATAAACATAATGAAAAATTACAGCCACAGTGGCCTTAGTACACGGATATGATAGAGGGTAGTAGGGACTGTGAGGAACTCAAGAGCCCATGGCTCATCAAAAGGAATTGAGACCACTAAGCTTTGACCGAATGCTGCCATAAAGGTGGCCTAGGGTGGAGGGACCCTCTGATTGCCATAAAATATAAATTTTTATGTGAAATTTATGGATTTGGTGCTTTTTTTTTAAACACTCTGGATCCAGTGAAGCACATGTGCAGATGAAATGACTGTTGGCTTGTAGCCTCTACTGTGGTCCCACTGGCTTCACGGGATATAGGTAAAGAGACTAGCACCCTGGCTAGCTCAGCTTGATCCATCCAAGAGAGAGGGCAGTTTAGTGCATTTGTCCTGAGTCCTTTTTTTTGTCTGAAAATACCTCAAATACCTTGAATTATTATTCCTCGGGGAAATGCCCACAATCTATAGGAATAGAGAGTTTTCTTGATTTAGCTTCTTACATCATGTTTTGGAGAATTTGGCAAGGAGAGCAAGAAGGGAAAGATCAAAAACCATGGAACTAAACTGTCCAGTTTTCAAATATTGGCCCTTGTTATTATTAGCTCAGGACTTTGAGTAAGGTAGGGAACCTCTCTGACTCTCACTTTTTTTCATCTATAAGTAGGAATTACAATCTC